ACTTTTTCCTCCCTGCACTGTGAATGTTTACATGTTATGTGCAATTAAACCATGGCAACATCTAATGTTTGTGTAGTATTATGTTCAGCAGACTGTGTTCTTCTATTGTTGTGACTTAGATGACATTCAGAGCACATTTTATGCCCAATTCATGCAAAACTCCACCTAATCCCAAGGGGTTCACATACTTTTTCTTGCAACTGTAACTGATTCTTGTACTGCTGTATTCTAATATTAGGTGAGGAAGCAGTTGTAAAGCAAACTGACCATTGATTGGGTCCTGTGGGCTTTTTATTGGATTGCTTTTGTAAAGAACACCGTATAGTTGTTGGCAAGGTTGTGATTGGAAGTATTTAACCAATTCAATACCGGGCAATTTTACACCTTCCTGCCCAGGCCAGTTTTCAGGTTTCAGCGCTCTCACACTTTGAATAACAATTGCGCGGTCATACAACATTGTACCCAAACTAAAATTTTATCATTTTCTTCACACAACTAGAGCTTTCTTTTGGTGGTATTTAATCACCGCTGGGGTTTTTACTTTTTGCTAAATTAACAAAAAAAGACCAAAAATTGTAAAAAAAAAAAAAACACGTTTTTCTTTGTTTTTGTTATAAAAGTTTACAAATAAATAATTGTTCTTCATAAATTTAGGCCGAGATGTATTCTGCTACATGTCTTTGGTGAAAATAACCCAAATTAGGATGTATTTTTTAGTTTGTAGGAAAGTTATAGAGTTCACAAACTATGGTATAGATCTGAAAATTGATCAATCCTTAAGTACTTACAGCCAATCTAATTTCTTGAGGTCCAAGAATGTCAAAACAGTACAGATATCCCCCAAATGACCCCTTTTTTGTAAAGTAGACAGTACAACGTACTTCATAAGAGGAATGGCGAGTTTTTTGAAGTTGTATTTTTTTTGTCATAATTTTTCAGAAAATGAAAAAATTAAAATAATTTTCACTTTTTTTTTTTTTTACATACTGTCACCAGTGCAGTACAGCGTCATCATATAACTGGCATGGCGGTGAACAGGGACGCTGACTGGTGACAGTATGAAGAAAATATATATATATATATACCATATTTTTTTTTTATTATTTTAAAATTTTTATTACATTTTTTATTTTTTTTAAGATTTCTTTTTCATATTTTACTATGACCAAAGTAGTACAATGTTACCATAGTAACATTGTACTACTTTGGGGAAGTGATCAGAATTTTTTTTTTTTTTTACACAATTTGCTTATAACAAAGAATTACTTTGCTATAAGCAAGCATTTACCTGAATCACATCGATTGCGCGGCTCTGCAACCGCGCATGTGCGGGAGGACACCAAATGGCGTACACCCCGGAAAGCTAATGCATTTTTGCGGCCGCAAAAAGGCTATAGGCCGGGCGGCAAATGGTTAACCTTCATCCTTTGAAAAAAATTTTAGGTTTGAATGAATGTTTTACATATTGCACTGTGAGCATTTTCTTTGGACCATACATCCTTACTGGTTTGTTCAGATTATATTTTTAAGGTCTTTTTCCAATGTATACATATACAGTAACACATTTTTTGTTGCATTGTTATGTATGCATTTTTTGTGCTGTTGAGCATTTCATACGGGTGTTTTTACTAATTCAATATGCAAAGTGAATGAAAAAAAATTACAATACAGAATTTCTATGATGCATGGGCATAAAAATCCGCAAAAATACATTGTGCATGTGCTTACCATTCATTTTAGCAAGCCTTCTTTAAGCAACAATGTCACTAAAATCAAACTCTGAATAAAGCAAGCGCTGAAACTTTGCCAAGAAGATTTTAAACACTTACCTCTCCTGCTACCATTGCCTCCAAACATGGTTTTAATGAAGGACATTGAATGGTGTTGGGGTCTGGGTGAGGAACCACTTAGTGCAACTGGGGACCAGGAATCTGACACTCACAGAAGTGTTAGTTTCTATAGTGTCTTCTGCTGGAAAATGTTGTTATCAGGGATCCAAGTATGACCAGAGGTGTGTGGACACAGAGGGAATGGCAGGCTTCAGGAGTGATATAAGAATATAATTTATTAGGAACTACACGAGTATACAACGCACAGTACAAAAAAAACCCAAACCTCCAACTAATGTCAGTATGTTCAGGAACACAGACATGTATAGTCAGGCTGGAGAGGAAGAGTGGTCAGGCAGGCCAGGTCAGGAACAATTGGGCAGACAAGGTACAAACGGAGCAGGCAGGAGAAAGGTCAGGAATAGCCGGGGTCGGTGCAGGCGGAGTTCGATCAGTGTCAGAGTCAAGCAGAGGAGGCAGGCAGACACCAGGTACAGGGGCTCATGGGAAACAACACCAAGGCGCTGATTGCAGGCCTGGTCCTGCTTAAATACACCTCCTGCAATCAGCATCAGGTGATGGCTTGATTGCAGGAGTGAGATCCTGGCTGCTGAAAGCACCCGCTGGCAAGCACCGGTACTGCAGCCCACACGGCAGATGAGCCCCAGCACCACCAGCGGTGAGTCCATTCCTGACAGTTGTCTTGATTAGTATGGTGGCACATTGGAAAAAGTAATTATTTACTGATTTATTATTCAGAGTTTAATTCTAACAACAGAGTCACTTTACCTTGCAATAATTATTATTATACAGGATTTATATAGCGCCAACGGTATACAATTATATATATTATGTGATATTTAGAGATAAGATTGGTTATGTAAATTGGGGCAGTGTTGTGGATGGCTTTATATGTCATTGTTAGAGTTTTGAATTTTATCCATTGGGCAACTGGGAGCCAGTGGAGGGATTGGCAGAGAGGGGTGGCGGATACAGAACGGTTAGTGAGGTGGATGAGTCTGGTAGCAGCATTCATGATAGACTGGAGGGGGGATAGCCTACAATGAGGTAGACCAATGAGCAGGGAGTTACGGTAGTCGAGGGGTGATATGACAAGGGAGTGAATAAGTTGCTTAGTGGTTTCCGGTGTTAGAAACGGTCGTATCTTGGAGATGTTGCGGAGGTGAAGTCTACATGATTTTGTCAGCGATTGGGTCTGGAAGGACAGATTGGACTCTAGGATTACACCTAGTACCCTGGCATGAGGGGATGGACTGAGGATGGTGCTAGCGATATTTATGGTGAAATCAGTGGGGGTGGCACGGGCTGGGGGGAATACTAGGAGCTCAGTTTTGGAAAGGTTGAGTTTGAGGAAGTGGAGTGACATCCAGGCGATATGTCGCTTAGTAGGCTAGCGATGCGGGTGGAAACTGAAGGGGTGAGGTGAAGGGTAGACAGATTTGCGTGTCATCAGCATAGAGATGGTAATTGAAGCCGTGGGAGTTTATCAAGTGCCCAAGGGAGGAGGTGTAGATGGAGAAGAGAAGGGGTCCCAGGACGGAACCTTGGGGGACCCCTACAGAGAGAGGGAGTGAGGAGGAGGTGGCAGTGTTATAGGTAACACTGAAGGAGTGCTGCGATAGATAGGAGAACCAGGAGAGAGCTGAGTCGCTGAGGCCAAAAGAGTAGTTTTTTGAGGAGGAGGGGATGGTCAACCGTGTCAAAAGCCACAGAGAGTTTGGGTAGTAGGGGTATTGAATAATGGCCATTGGTTTTTGCAGTTAGTAGGTCATTAGAGAGCTTTAGTGGGGCAGTTTCGGTGGAGTGTAGGGGGCGAAAGCCAGACTGTAAGGGGTCGAGAAGGTTGTTGTCAGTGAGGTGGGAGCTCAGACGATTGTAGACTAAGCGTTCTAGGAGTTTAGAGGTAAATGGCAACAGGGAGATGGGTCTAAGGTTGTTTGGGTTGGTGGGGTCTAGGGAGGGTTTCTTAAGTATGGGAGTGATGTGCGCGTGCTTTAGAGGGGAGGGGAATGCACCTGTAGAGAGGGAAAGATTGAAGTGAGGGAGCATAGGATGGAAGAGGAGGGTGACCAAAGGAGTTGTGAGAGGACGGGGTCCAGGGGGCAAGGGGTGAGGCGGGCTTCTGAGAAGACCTTAAGGACCTCTTCGGTGGTAGTGAGGTCAAAGGAGGACAGTGTTGAGGGGGGTATGGTGTGAGGAATGCCAAGTGGGGTGGGTGTCTGTGTAGTGGCGATGTCCCTACGAATTGCGTCGATCTTGTTTTGGAAGTGGTGTGCAGTCTCGTGGGCAGTGAGTGAGGCGCTGGGTGGCAGTGGAGGTGGAGAAAGTAGAGAGTTAAAGGTAGAGAAGAGCTGACGAGGACTCGAAGAGAAGGTATTAATGAATGAAGCATGTCCTATATTTTAAAAATACGCTAAGGTGCAGCACATTGGTGTGAACTGGCTTACATTTCATACAGCAAAATGTACACAAATCTTAAAATGTGGATTACCTATCACTTTCTGTCCAATGGCCATCAAGACAAAACAATCAAGTGAATTTTCTCAGCCAGGGCAGACATATGAATAAAAACTCAAACATTGTATGGGCTGGAGATGCACTTTAAATATACTCTATATGGACAAACTTTTGTAAACACGTGACCATCTCACATTTAGTTGGAGATCCCATTCTACAGCAATGGGCAATGACATGGAGGTGTTCCCTCTTTTGCAGCTTTAACTACCTCCATACTTCTGGGAAAAAAAGTGTTTCTAAGGGAATTTGTGCCCATTCATTATGGTGTCAGGTCTTAATGGTTGATGAGAAGACCTGGCTCACATCTGGCATTTCAATTCATCTCAAAGGTGTTTATTGGGGTAGAGGTCAGGGCTTTGTATAGTCCACTCCATACCAAATTCATCAAACCACGTCTTTATAAGCTGGCTTTGCGTAAAAGGGGCACAGTCATGCTGGAATAGAAGAGAGCCTACTCTAAACAGTTGTACAAGTTGGAACCACACAATTTTAGTTTGCAGGATTGTTCACAGCCTATTGGCCATATAGTGTATGTACTGTATTTGATATTAAAAATTTGTTGTTTGTGACATTTGTAATATGTGTATTTGACATTACATCTTTGTTTTATAGTTGGAAGAAAGCACACAGGCTATGACAAAGCTGAAGAACCTCCAGCTCCAACAACGCCTAGAGCAGCTTCAATATGACGTAGACAATATGAAACAATGGACAAACACAATTTCTGGAAATAGGGATCATCTAGAGGGCAACTTAACTAACCTTGAACTGGTTGTTTCCCAAATAGAACAGAGCACAGCAGCCATTGCCAAAGATGTATCTGGAAAACTCGCCACAGTGAAGACAGATGTCAGGAGAGTATCTGGCATGGAGGATGATGTTGCCTTATTGACAAACTCAGTCGGTGATCTGGAGAAAAAGTTCGAGAAGGTAGAAAAAAACACAGCACAGCTTATCGGAGATGCTTTAGCACACAGCATTGACCGAATCACTTCACTCAAAGACTCAGTGGCTACAAATTCCAACAGGATAGACCTCATCAAACTGAGATTAACTGAGCTTAGAGGAAACTTTACTGGCAACTCAGATAAACTCTCAAGTCTAGAGAGCGATCGGCTAAAAGTCTTGCAGGCAGTTAACTTTGCCAATGAGTTAAAGCCTAAGGTGTTCACTCTGAGGAAGGACTTTGCTAGTTTAGAAGCTTTGCTGAATGACCTATCGCTAAGAATTGGCAGATTGGCAGCTGATCTGCTGAATAGGGAGAAAGATATAAACATGCTAAGTGACAAAATGTACAACTTAACTGTGATTAAGTCTGAAATTCTGGCTCTAAATAATAAAATAAGCAATTTGTCGGCCATTAATCAACATCATGTGTGAAGAGTAGCTTTGGAGCCTTGTATTGTTCAATTTATGTAATGTTTTATAGAAAAATTAAATTGAGCTTTCTTTAGTGCAAGTGTTATTGATTTGTACGGACTTCCCTTGTAAATTATACTCTTTGCACCAACCCACAGTCAGCACAGCAGAATAATGCAACCTTATTATTTCTGAACTCTGAGGAAAAATCAAAACTACCCTTGCAGGAGGGCTCCCCTCCTATTGCAAGTATTAAATTTATTAAATATGAATAGCCCAAAATTGTGCCACATCCCTATTTAAGCACAAGTCAACTCAACATGTGACCTGGTGGGATTTTGTAGACCCAAAAAATCTATTTTTGTCTTATTTAAAACAACACAGTTTATTCATACAAAATTCAAGTAAAACGAAAACATATTCAGCGACCTAATATTTAAAATCACAGTCAATTACATTTCATCTCAAATTGAATTCTGCTAAACTCGACCCTTTTCTTGGAATTAATCCACTTCATCAGGAGGCAGATATGAACGTCTCTATATAATAATAGAAATTATTACAGATTATCAACACAAATTATATTCCATGAAATATGAACACTATTTAAATTCAACTCTTTTACCTAAAAAGACCCATATGAGGGTGGAAAAAAACAAAAGAAACTGTCGGAGGCCCAAAGCAAGAGGGAGAACCTAGAGACTGGAGTCCCAATTGAATTACACTGGATAAGATATGTATACATAAACTGGTAGGTAGACTGTGTGCTATACTCATCACTTCAATGAGGAAACAGCATAATGTCAAAATATATAGAGATGTTCATCTCTAGCTCCTGATGAAGTGGTTTAATTCCAAGAAAAGCGTCAAGCTTTGCAGAATTTAAGAGCTTTGCAAAATTCAATTTGAGATTGAATGTAACTGACTGTGATTTTAAACATTAGGTCGATTAATATGTTATGTTCAAATTGAATTTTGTATGAATAAACTATGTTGTTTTAAATAAGACAAAAATAGATTTTTTTTGTGCCTACAAAATTATGGCAAATGTTAAGTATTAAATGCTAATTTTTTTGTCTAGGGTACTTTCAAATACAATTTGCTAACTTTATCCCTTGCATCCACATGCTTTCTTCTCTCTGTGTGATCGGTCCCACGAAGCCCCTTCTCTACAGCGTTCTGCTGCTTGCAATTTGACATCACTGTATACAATGCTGGACTAGCAGTTCTGCATTGTAAGTGAGTATGCCATAGGCCAACCAAGAGCATACGAGAAAAAGAAGAGCATCAGAGGTTGGAGAGGCAAGGGATAAAGGATATAAAGCTGCTTTTTATTGGTACTCGAGACAAAAATGAGCATTCAACCTTTACAGTGCAGGGTGAGCCCCACTGCAAGGGAAGGTTTGAACTTTGCCCAGCATTCAGCTTTAAAGTGGCCCTGAACTAAAAAAATGAGCTTATCCTTTGTTTTAAATTCCTCTCAACTTCAGCAGTTCACTTCCTATTCTTTGAACCTTGGAGCTGTATATCCGGATTTTGAGATCCAAGGCCCCATGCATCTGAATGCTAGTCTTCCCAGATATGGAGTCAGGTTGTGTGATTACTGTTCTTTTGCTTTATTCATTCTGTGGACCTCTGTAGCTGCTTCTTGAATATTTTCCCACCAAGCATTAGATCATTAGTCTTTAGGAAGGCAGCTCTGACATGAGAAAGCAGAGCCTTATCTATAACCAAGATGGCCGCCTTAAAAATAAAATAAAAAAATCAACTTTTCTATGTGTTCAGTTTTTACAAGGCCAAGAGAAGTAACAATGTGTATGCAATTAGTACAGTAGGTGGGCTGTAACAGTTTTACTTTTTATTGAAAAAAGTAAAATCCAACTTAAACTTTTTTTTTTCTACAAATACTCTCAAGCAAACTGGAACATCTAGTAAATTGCAGGCCTTTTTCTCAGTAGTTCCTAAAGCTGAACACCAGGAAGATATAAAAGACACAAATTATTGTAGCTTTTGTATTCATTCATTAAACTATTAATTATTTTTAAATGAGTTTAGGGAAAGAGCCTTAAAATGAAATGTTTTTTTTTGGCCATACTTTTCTTGTGGGTCACAGAAGTGCGCTTACTATTGCGTCTATCAGTTGGCCTGGTGGAGTCATGGGATCTAGAATGATCCTGAAAAGTTTGTCAGGATCCACCCAGCTGCCTGATTTACAGCTGTCTCTGCCTCTCAGGACAATGCTGAGAACTGGAGTCTGCTGCATCCACCCCCTGCAGGAGCAGAGAGGGGACTGACTGTCCATGCTTTTCGCTCCAAGCAGACCGGTCATATGACCACGGATTGCTCAGTTCTCAGTCTTAGAGCTGACGTTGGACAGCTGCAGCAGTACAGGTGAGTATATATGTATCTTTTTCTGCAATTCCCAAACTTCTTCAAATTGACCTAGTGTCTGCTTTGTGTGATCTCTTTTACAGCAGAATACAGAGAGAAGAAAGAGGGGAAGCACTAGAAGCCATTCAGGTGTGTTGCATGCAAATGTGTTGATAAGAAACACGCTAATACCAGGAGGCGCCTTCACTGTCCATACCATTTATTATATATTCTAATGTTATATTTGCTTGTAAGTACAAACCACGTATGCAGTTATATTAATCTGGCATGAATTAATGAGATTCAATGTATGGAAAACTTTACTATGACCAAGAGAAATCAGGAAGAGAAATTCTTCCATATATGGACACCCTGGTTTCTCTACAGAAATGCAGCATCCCAAACCCAGTAAACAAACAAAGAGATGGTTTTCATGCCACCACTACTCAATCCCAGTGGACCAAATGTTTCTTGGGCAAAAGTACATTTCCCAGGTCAATCCGAGACTGGGAGAAAATTGTGAGCTCTCATTTTACCATTCCTGATCCCTCCCTCTTTTTCCTTTTCCTTTTTATTTTTTTGTTTGTTCTCCTCTCCCTCCTTCCTTAATAGATTTTCTTAAAATACCTTCCACCTCCCCCCTGAATAGGTTCCTTTGTAAAACCATTCTGAACTAATTTAAAAAAAAATTTAAAAAGTGAGGAGAAATAAAAACATCAGAGGAGGCACCAAAATATTCTTGGCCGTGATTTTAATTGTAAGAAAAACCACTGAGTCCCAAACATGTTCATAGTGCCAAACACACTACTCATAGTCCTTCACCTGAACCCCAAATCGGAGCTTTGGTTTCAATGAGCTGTTAACATCCTGTGCTGTCTGACTATGCAGAATTCTTATCAAACATATTGTGCCTAGTTTGCTCTGTGGATTACAGAATCCCCCTCACATGTTATGGAGCTGATACGTTCAGGTGATTGGACACGGGCAAAGCTTTGAATGACATGCCCCCTAAGCATCCCCTATAACCCTACCCCACTCTGTGAGCCCTCAGTTTTGTAGCAAGTAATGCAAAGTAACCCATTATTAGAAGAGAGGGTTTCCTGTGTCCTGTACTTTACGCCAAACTATTGAATTTACAGGTAAGTCAAATTTCCTTTTATCCTAAACATATAGTACGCGACACAGGCTTAATATTAATGGACTTTGGGATGTCCCCCGGGCAAGGAATTAGAAGGTGGACAGCATCTCACCAAACAGAACTGTGACAACAGGTCCACCAACAAAAAGGGTCAACAGACCATTTGGCCAAAAGCTGCATCTGCAGAGGATTGGACATCCACCTGGTGGAACTTTGAAAGGGTATGAACAAAAGACCAAGTTGCTGCATTACAGAGCTTCGCTTAGTGCTGAAATGTCCATGAAGATCCCCCAATCTGGTGGAGTGAGCATGTAATAGTGCAGAAATAGTCTTGTCCTAGAGTGTAAGCTTTTGAGCTCAGTTGCCTTACCCATCTAGCAATGATGAATTTTGAAGCAGGATGTCCCTGGCAAAGTCCTAAGGGTAGGACAAAGATGGAGTCCATCTTCCTGATAGAAGCTGTAGCTTTGTGGTAGAATCTGATGGCTCATAGGCAGTGAGCATAGATTTCATTTGGGTGCTCTGGAGTAGGGCACAAAGTGGGAAGGACTATGTTTTCCTTGAGTTGAATGACTGAAACCATCTTCGGAAGAAAGGTGGGTTTTGGGTGCAAAATCACCATGTCCTTGTGAAGAATGAGGAATGACTGTTTGTAAGAGAGAGCCAACAGCTTGGAGACATGCTTGATGGACATAATAACCACCTAGAAGGCTAATTTGCAGGAGAGATCATCTAAGCGGAGTTCCTTGGTGGGCTCAAAGGGAGGTTTCTGCAGGGCAGAGAGACCAAACTGAGGTCCCAAGGAAGCACAAGGTGCTGTAAAGGAGACTTGATCCAGGAGACACTAGGTCTGGCCTTTTTGAAAATCCTAGCAGTCTGAATAGGTCTGTGAAGCAGGTTCTAGGCCAGCCTGGCTGGTGAAGTGAGAACCATGGGCTTTATTTCCTCTATTTTGTAGTACAGCTGAGGCAGAATGCACACTAAAAGAAAAGAATAAATTAGTCTGAACTGAGTCTAAGGGATTATCAGAGCATCCAATGCCAGTGTTAGAGGTTTCTCGGTCCTAGACATAAACAGAGGTAGCTTATGGTTGGATCTGGAGGCCAGGATATCCACTTTTGGAATTCTAAATTTAGTTTCCTCTTTCTCTATTTCAGAACATTCTTTGGCTACATTGCCATACCATTACAGTACATTAAATTCTGAAACAGCTCTTCGGAGGTAGAATATATTGTCACATTGATATATTATAAGATACCCAGCTGTAGCCAGTATACAATGAGCCTGATGTAATTAGATACAGATTTCAATACAAGACTAAATACTTGTGTTCACCTTGCCTGAGCTTTTATTTTCTGAACATGTGGGTTAAAAAACATGTTAAGATGCAAAGGAAACTAAAAGCAAAGCATAGTGATTGATTTTTAGTGCCAAGTGTGAAAAGTTTACACTGTAAAAGTGAAAACATTCTAACAACATAGCTGTTTTCCGATAGATAATATGTTAAGTGCAA